AGAGTGAGGCCGTGGGAGTTGACTGAAGGTGTGAAGAACCTCTCACACAGCTGAGAGCTGTGAGCTAAGTGCCATGTGGTATTGACAAACCAAAGGTGTGACAAGCAAAACCAGCTGACTTAGAGCAGCCTGTGGTTTGCTCAGGGCTGCTGCCTTTTCCTAGGCCACACTCCATCCCTCACACAGGCAGCCCAGGCACCTCTCTCACAGCTTGGGGACTCAACATTTGTCCCTGTTTCACTTGTCCAACCCTTCAGGTTTCCTCCTGCACTCGTGGTGGGTTTATGTGTTAACCCAGAGGTGGTTCCTTACCTGTAGGTGAACTTGGTGAAGGAATCATCAACAGAGCCACTGCCCCAGGTGCTGTCCAGTAAATGCCACCTTCCTTCGAGGTAAACAGCGTTCCAGGCATGGTCAGAGTCCCCTGTGAAGGTTTTCCCTATCTTGTACCCATAGCCCTTGGCGTGTCCCGACAGCTTCTTGCACTGGATCCCTGCAATGCTGAGAGGGAAAGGTAAGACACAGCAGGACGTTTCTGTTTCAAACCTGTCAGCTGCTTCTGAGCAAGGAGAAAAGGTGGTGATGCCTGAGGTGTTGGGTGGAGCTGTTTGCATCCAGCTGAAGGAATCTCTCCCAGATCTGCACGTTCCCTCTGTTTTTGCCTGCTGCACCATCAATTCAGCACTGCTAGAGGAGGGTGACAAAGATAAAGTGTGCTTAATTGCTCTCTGTCTCATTACTGTGTGGAATCCCTTTGATGCTGTCCACAATTAGCCCACGTAATTACAAATTGAACGTGCAGTCTGTTCCTCTCCCTGTGATGCTGGGCCTGGTGTTTGACACCAGCTAGCTCAGACCTCACGGGATTGTGGATGCTGAGTTCCTTTCCTGAGTGAGTGAGCTGTGCTTGCCCAGGCTAGAAGTGATTAAAGAACCTCCTCCTAAAAATGTAATGAATACCTGTGTGGATATGTAAATGAGATTTAGCTGAGCACTGTGAATCAGCTCTCCACCGCTGATAGCAATGGATGTATTGTGGGCATCTGATTCCAGCACCGAGCTAAAATTGCTCCACGTGGAGGATTGTCTTTTGTGTAGGACAGCACTGACATTTTTCTTCTTCATTGAAAAGTGTGCTAAGTGGAATAACTGCCTTCAGTGATAAACTGTGCAGGCTTCCAGAGAGAGGTTGGCTGCATAATGTGGGTTTAGCTCCGATGGAAAGGGATATTTATGGGGAAGATAATTAGCACGGTCGTTAAGAAGTCTGACAACAGACACTGCCTGGCAATTGGCAGTGCAGCAGTGCTTGCAGGGAGGGCTGTTTTTCCCTGGAGAGGATGCTGCTTCTGAGGGAGGGTGGCACTTCACCTTCTCACACACCCTGAAGTCACCCCTGGGTGTCTTTGTGTTACTTAGCTCTTTGGTGCTCTAAGAGCACCAAATGAAATTCTTACAGTCTTTGTTTCATTCCTTAAGAAAGAATGCAATGGACTTAAGGAAGAGTGTCAGAAATAGAATCCCCTTTCTGTCCTGCAGAGAGTTGTGCAGAGAGGAGGCACAAGGCAGTGCCCCATCCCTGCTGAAGGTGGCCAGCAGAGAACTCAGTGTGAGCTGTCCTGCAGCCAGAGCAGGGCACTGCCCCTTACATGGGTGTCCAGGCTGGAGGGAATGCCATGAGAAACCTGGTGCTGCAGGGGGTCTGGAAAGCCCTTGCCAGCCCCCAGTCCCCTGTGAGCCAAGTCCTAGCATGGAGCTGGGCAGTAAATCTGGAGCAGCTCCACGGATGAGACTGATGAGAGCTCGGATTGACATGATGTAACTGAGACTAGGAGCTGGCCCAGGAACTTTTGGGATGATTTGATCCTAGGAGTTTCGAGGAGTTAAGTACCAAATTCCCACTAATTTCATGGGGATAGGTGTCTAATCCTTCCAGGCTTCTCTAAACACTCCTGTTACCTGGGATATCTTGTTAGCTGGGATACTCTGAGGGAACATCAAGGGATGAGTTCTGCCATTCCTTCTTGCTGTGCTGGCAGTTACAGTGAGTGCTGGCAAAGCAGCAAGAAGAGTTTGTGCTTGGGTATGTTCAAAGTTCCCAAGAAGAAAGACCAGAGCATTTAAACTGGTCTATCTAGCCATGGACAGACAAAAATCCAGGCTAAAACATCCTGCAAAAGAGCAATCCTATACTGGTGATCTTGTCCATGTTCCTGTGTAAATGGCTTTGTATAGACAAATTAAGCAGACAGAAGAGATTGACAACATCTCCAGAAATAGTTGAAGTGGCAGTGTGATGGTGGAAGGTGAACTAAATACAAAGTGGACTGGAAGAACTGAATTAAGAAACACTTGGCAAGATTTCCTTGGTGCAGCAAAAGAGGTTAAATGTAAAGTTGCTTTTCTGCTTCAAAAAGAGTAGAAGGTAGTCTGGACCTTGCTATAGGTGTCCCTGGGATTCAGTGGCACCTTATTGCCTTTGATTTTAGGTTGGCTTGGATCATTAAATCTAAAAAAGGATCAAATCTGGCTTCTCCAGAGGGAGACAGAATGGTTTATGCTTGTGGTAGGTAGGTGTACACCTGTGCCTGCAAAGAAGGAAAGCTGCTCACTGTAGGAATCAGGAGGATGTGAAACCTGGAGTGTTTGCAGAGTGCTTAGGAAGCAGGAGCAGCTAAGTGGTCAGATCTCTGTGGGCAGTGGGGTCAGCTTTGCTCCCAGAGGTGCTGCTGAAACCTCTCCTGTGAAAGCAATCGCTGTGCCCTCAACACCCACCCTGGGGGGTGAGTCTGGCCCCAGGTCCAGGCTGCTGGGTTTGCCCTGGATTGGATCCAGGAATTCACACTGCCATTCACTCAGCCATGCTACCCCCTCGAGTTTGCTTGTCAGCTGGGAAGCCAAACCTTGACAAATGCTGTTGGAATACTGGTGAGCACCCTGTGTTTGTGTCCGTCCCTCTCACACCTGGTGTCTGGGAAGTGATGCTCTGTGACCAGCTTCTCTCTGCCCGTGCCCACCTCTCCTCAGTGACAGCAATCCCAGCTGAGGGGAAGAAGTCTGTCTGCCAAAGCTGTGGTTGGAGGTGACAGTGCTGTTTCTGCAACAGAAACTGTTCCCTCTGGCACTGGGACAAGTGGGACTCAATCAGTGTCAGCCATCGACTTTGGCAGGACCTTTGGGGGGACTCCTGGTGACTGGCAAATTGGGTTGGTTGTTCAGGTCCCTTACAGCAGATAGGGAAAAAAGGCTTTTTAAAATACCTTTTTTTTCCCCCAAAAAAAATTAGCTTTGAAAAGCCTTTCTGCTCTTTGCCTCTTGCTTTTCTGCCTAAACTCAGCACAAGGCTGGAACAGAGTGCGGGAGGAAGGGATGAGGAGGAGTCCTTGGAAGAAAGGGGTGTTGTCTTTGGGTACAGTTTTTCTGGAAAGGAGCTAATATTTGCCAACATAACAGGCTGTATGACTGGGAGGTTTCCTGAATCACATAGTGACTAATCAACCTGGAACTGAGGACTTATGAGTAAATCAACAGTGTCTTTAAATAGTCAAAGATATCCTTGGAAATATTAATGCTTCCAAGGAGCAAAACATGTGCTTTGTAATGAGCAGATGCAGATTTCCCCTCCCCCTTTCTAACTGCTAATAGCTGCTCCATAAGATGCAGCTGTTTCTTTAGGTTACTCTTAGAAAGCAAGATCCAATATCATGGAATGGTTTGGGTTGGAAGGGACCAAATCTGTATCATGGGACATATTGTTGGGTGGAAGCATTCACCATTTTAGCACCTGGCACAGTATGCTGGGTTTTTTTACTCTCTCCTTTTCCTTGTAGATTTTGTCTGTTCCATGGTGAAACACTTCCCAAATCTTTGGGATGGTGTGGAAAGTCAATTGTTACCGACACATGCTGATTAATAACTGGTCTTTGATTTTTCCAAATTTATCTTGTACATGGCATGTGGAGAGCCACCTAACAGACCCACCCTCTTTGGATTGCTTTAAGAAGTCCCTTCCAATCTTGTGTCCAGTTTTCTCCTCTTGGACAATCCTTCTGCCTAAGGCTGGTCCCCAAACTTGCCAGGCACGTTCATTCCTCTCACTATTCCAAGCCAAACCACTGTGAAGGGTGAGATGCTGCTCCTTGCTGAGGTGCTTCAGGGTTGCCTTGGGCAACAGCCATCTCCTTTCCTTAGTGGGTTGGAGGGAGAAGGGATTTGGGCTGCATCCACCTGCCAAGGAAGGAGCTGCCTCTTCTGTGAAATGGCTTTGTGATTGTAAAGTCCTGCTCTGGGTGGGGGGAAAACACTCATTCATGTGACCAATCCCCAGTGAAATCCACAAGGTTTTGTAGGCAGGAGAATGGATTTTAGTCATTAAATGCCAAGATAGCTATAAAGTGGGAAATAGTGTTGGCCTCAACAGTGATGCACCCTGAGCTTGGCCTCAGCAGACAGCAGGGGAAGGTGAGGTAGTGTCCTGGGTGCTTCTGGAGGGGACAGGGCATCTCTAGAGGGTTTGGGGAAAGCTCTTTCTGGGGCTGTGGCTACCTCTTGCACGTTGGAGACAGCACTCCTTGTTGGAGTCTTGCGACGCTTTTAACCTTCACATCCAGGTACTCCAAGGAAAATCCTACTTCTCCTAATCAAATTAGCCCCATGTTTTCATCTGCCATTATGTTAATGCAATGCGAAGCTCAGCAGATGGCACCAAGTAAATTATGCTGGGGAGGGAGGGGGGGAGGAGGGAGCAAAATTGACCTTTCTAGGACTTGCTGTTTTCCCACAGCATGGTTTGAAAGCTTAAGTTCCACGTCCTGCTTAAAGTCACATCAGTCAATGCAAAGGCAGACAGAGTAGGCAGGGAGATGGCAAGGAATGTTAACTCTGCCTGGCACTGAACATTTCTGAACTTAATTTACCTGCACATTTGCTCGAAGAGCACAGCGTAGCCCTCACAGACGCTCTTGCCCCTCCGAAGCACATCTCTGGGCTCGCTCGACCGCTGGCTTTTGTTGTGGTAGCCCACCACGTCGTATTCTGCAGGGAGGAACACAGACAGAAGCTCATTCAAAGGCCTGAGGCCACGGGATCAATGGGCAGCAGGAGCAGCACTCAGATTGCTTTTCAGCAGAGGGAAACGTTGCAAGAGAGTCATGGAATCCCAGAATGATTTGGTTTGGAAGGGATCTTAAAGACCATCTCGTTCCAACCCCTTAGTCAGTGCTGGATGGGCAGGGACACCTTCCACCAGCCCAAGTTGCTCCAAGCCCCATCCAACCTGGCCTGGAACACTTCCAGGGATGGGGGGATTTTCTTGCCCATGACCACTTTGGGAATTTGGCTTTCTTTTTTGAGTGTATTTCCTAGACTGAGAGGACTTCAAGGTGTCTGCAACACCTGTGACCTTCCCAGCTCCCTCCCTGCATGGGTAGGATGTTGGATTTGGCATCCTGGGTGGTTTGGGTTGGAAAGGACCTTAAAGGTCATCTCATTCCATCCCCTGCCATGGGCAGGAACACCTTCCACTAGCCCAGGATGCTCCAAGCCCCATCCAGCCTGGTCATATGAATGCCTGGAAGCATAGAGATCTTGATT